CGTTATTAAGATTTTATATGCACACACACACACATGTGAAAGAGGCATAGTATTGAAATGTATGATTCTGGTAGGTTCTTAAGCTATGTTAGCTGGGTTGGGTGGGAAGCTTTATGGAAGAAAAATCATTACGATTTGGAAGTTGGGCAGGCATTTATCTGAAGTGCTAATTGTGTCCTAGTACAAGCCGGGCAGTCACAGACAAGGTTTGGGGCATGATTTTTTCCTCTTCTTTGTTTGATTATTATTATTGTTATTTTTGGTTTTTCGAGACAGGGTTTCTCTGTATTGTTTTGGACTCTGTCCTGGAACTCACTTGGTAGACCAGGCTGGTCTCGAACTCACAGAGATCCGCCTGCCTCTGCCTCCTGAGTGCTGGGATTAAAGGCATGCGCCACCAATGGGCGGCTGTTTATTTTTTTAAGAAGGGATCCACTATGTAGCCCTGGATAACCTGGAGCTTGTTAGGTAGACCATGCTGGCCTGGAACTCACATAGATCTGTTTGCCTCTAACTCCCATTTACAGGCATGAGGTACCACCTTATGATCTGGGCTCCTTTTGTTTGTTATATGTGGGATAGGTTCCACAGAGGAAAGCTCCGTGGAGAGGGAGGTTACCTCTCCCTGTTTAGACTTTAGCTGGAATGTGGGATGTAGTCACTTAGGGAAGGGCGACTGTAGGGTGTGGACAGATCGTTTTGCCCCTCCCCCCCAAGAGGAGAAAGCTCAAATCAGCTAGCAACTCTTGACCAAAAGCAGACTCCTGACTGAGGCTGAGCAGAAGTCACGTGTGCCCCACCATAGTGTGCTCTTCCGTCATGTTTGAAACCCCCCTGTGGTACTGTGTCTTCAAGCCGCTTGTCCCAGGGGAAAAGAGGGAATGTAGTTGTGGTAGAAGCAGGCCAACAATGCCTTTCAGTTTCTTTAAGGTTGGGAAACATGGCAACCCAGGCATGGAGGCTATGTTGAGTTGAGGAATTCATCTTGAGAGGAGATTTAGCGTGACATTATACACGTGAGCAGAGCCTATGTAATTGAAAAGGGCATTGTAGGCTTGTGACATTGGAGCATGCTAGGGATTAACACCATCAGAGTATTGTTTGTTGAATTTTGAGGGTGTGAATTGTAGAAGAGGTAAAGTATAGTCTCAATTGCAGTGCTGGGAGTGTTCTGCCCTGACTCCATAAATCGTAGAAAACAGTAGGCTATAGATTTGAACGTCTTTAATATCAACTCTTGTGAGGCAGAGGTGTGGTGGTTCTCTGGGAGTTGTAGGCCAGCCTGGTCTACATAGTGAGGAGACTTTTTATCAAGATAACTAAAACCAATAAATAAATGGAGAGCTTGACTAGTGTACCTAGAAAGATTTAGGTTACATTCCGTGTACGGTGGCGAGGAGATCTGTTCACACTGGGTTCATGCTACAAACAAGCGTCTTTGTTTGATGTCATCAGTTTCTGGCTATCTGAAAATTGGCTGTGTCGACCTCATCGTTCCCCAGGGATTTCAAGCTTTTCTCGTAACCCAGTATGAACTTCAGGAATGTAGATTGCAGGAGTGGAGGATGTGAGAGGATGGATAGGCTGAGGCAGCAAAGGAAGTGCGTGTTGGGAAGAGAGCTTGGACCTAGATGTTTTTGGCTGTGGGCTGTGTTGGTACATCCTGGTCACACAGTGTAGCACATGCGTGCCCACCAGTAGGCTGTCTGCAGCTAATTTGTGTTTTGGCTCTGTGGGCTGACATTTGTGGTGCTGTGCCAGCATCCAGGTGATGCCAAAGCTTCTAGTCTAGGGACACACTGAAAACTGCTGCATTAGAGTAAACCCATCATATCCTCCCAGATGTGATAATTAAAAAATCAGAGTGCTAGTCATTTCAGTCTAAAACTGTCATTTGGGGTTTTAAAACCAACACTTTAAATGTTGATAAGAAAATTAAATATGGTATGAATACTTTATACTATCAATGTGAAGCATACATCATTTAACAGATTACATGAATAGTTTTTTATTTTACTTTTTAAAATTTTTTAAGGTTAAGGAAAAATAGTTTATTGAGTATACTGCAGGAAGCCAAAGGACTGGGCAGCAACTAGAGTTCTGCTTGCATCATAGGGCAATGGGCTATAAGAGTCTCCATTTGGGAGAAGTAGCATTATGGTTAGGATGTTTCCAGATGTGTGATTGACACTATTTGAAGGTGGACAGCCCAGATTGGCCAGTGTACAGTTCTGCTTGAGTCAACGTGCAGTTTCTGCCCTCCAGATAAGAGCCATGCAAGCCACTCAAGACAGACCTGTGCCATTGTAAGACAGGTTCTTTCTCTCTTTTGCAAAAAAACTGAAAATTTTTGGATTTATTTATTTTATGTGTATGAATATTTTGTCTGTGTGTATGTATGTGCACTGTGTGTGTGTGAGATCCTCTTTGAGGTCAGAAGAAGGTGTCTGATCTCAAAGGAGTAGATGTGGGATTGTTGTGAGCTGCCATGTGTGTGTTGGGAGTTGAACCCAGGTCGTCTGCAAGAGCAACAAGTGCTCTTAATCACTGAGCCAGCTCCAACCCAAGAAATTAAATTTTTTGCACAGCCATACCAATAGTCAAATCTGGGTCTCTAAGACCAACATTCTTGATGTTGTTTGGCCTGCTTAACAAGATTCCTGGGCTAAATATTTACAGTCTGCATGTTTCTGTTTTACAATTGTTTGGGAGGTAATGACCTGTAACAACCTCAGAATGGGAATTTAGCGACACTTCTGTGATGTATGCTATTCCAGACCAATCTAACAATATGATTTTGATACCAGTTTCAATTTATTTATTGTTAAATACTAAGCACAGAGTTACACTAGTACCTTGGAATTAAAACCAGTTGCCTTGGATCAGTTATATAACCAGGTCATTAATAATGGGAGGTCAGCCAAAAAAACCAAAACCAAAACAAAAAAGCATCGTGTAATTGTTAAAATCATGTTTTAAGATGGAAACTGCCTGGGTGATGTTGTTACAGGCTTTTAGTTCTGAGGCAGAGGCAGAGGCAGAGGCAGGCAGGTCTCTCTGAGTTCGAAGCTAGCTTGGACCTTCAGAACAGCCAGAGCTCTTACACAGTGAAACCCATCTCGAAAAAGCAAAAACAACAACAAAAAAGATGGGAGCTGACTCCTAGGAAGCCCATATTTATTTAACAGTAGCCTCCCAGTGCTCTGCAGCTCTGCCCTCTGGGGAAAACTGAGTCCCTTGACAGTGGCCTTCTGAACTTGTGAAAGAAAACATGTTGAACACACACACACCCTGGAACCCAACCCCAGGGAAGCTAGGGAGAGAAGATTGTTGTGAGTTTGAGGCCAGCCTGGCCTGTAGTTACAAGTTACTTTGACTTTGTTGTGAGACACTGATTCAAAATTCCAAAACCATAATAAATCGAAACAACAACAAATCAGTTGTTTTCAGATCTTTTGACCACAGGGATAGAAAAAAAAAACAAAACAAAACACCAAACAAAATCAATGTGGCCGTTTTGTGAGGGACTGCAACCATGTAAATGTTATTGCTTGTTTTTGTATTTATGTTTAAGAGCTATTTATTATTTTATGTGTTTGGGCACTGCATGTGTCTATTAGGGTGTGTGTGTGTATGTGTAGGGGGAGCTGGGATGTAATAGATTCTCTGTGTGTGTATATAGGGGAGCTGGGGTATATTAGATTCTCTCTGTGTGTGTGTGTGTGTAAAACAGTATGCATTTCTGTTCTTGAGTGTGTGGAGACCAAGCAGGTTCCACTCATGACTGTCCACCTTACCTTTGGAAACAGAGTTTCTTAGCCTTGGGTTTACCAGTTGGCTAGGCAGGAGGACTGTTGAGCTCTGGAGATCCCCAGTCCCAATGAATCTTTCCTGTGGGTGATGTAGATCAATTGTGGGTCTTCATGCCTTTGTAGTAGCCAGTGTGTTACTTACTTAGTCAATTGAAAATGCATTTAATACACCTGACCAACCAAATCATACAAGAATAGCGTAGGCTGCCTTTACAGTCCTGAGAACATTTAGATTAACCTGTCAACAGGCAAAGGGCTTAGTAGTGCTCACTTACATAGTTCATCGACTTGTAGGTGTGCTCTTGTGCCATCTAAAGTTTGGGAAGCAAGTCTTAAGCCGGTTTTAATTGGGGAAAATAATTGCTTTTATCCTTGTCTTTTTTTTTTTTTTTTTTTTACGAGACAGGGTTTCTCTGTATTGTTTTGGAGGCTATCGGTCCAGCCCAGCCTCCAACTCACAGAGATCTGCCTGCCTCTGCCTCCCGAGTGCTGGGATTAAAGGCGTGCGCCACCACCGCCCGGCTTAACCTTGTCTTACAGTATTTTTTGTTTTGATAGAGTATCATGGAGCCCAGGCCAGCCTTGAATTTGAGCTTGCTGTATAGCCATGGATGACCTTGAACAGGCTGGCACCACCAAACCCAGCTCATGTGTTCCCTGGGTTTGACCCCAGGCTTGATGGCACACTAGGCAAAATCACTCTTCCAGCCTTTCCCTCTTCTCTTGAGGCAGCCTTGCTGTAGAGTACAAGCCAACCCTGAACTCAGCATCCCCTGCACACTCCTCCAGAGTGCTGGGATTATAGGCAGGCACCATCACGGGGGGCTGTCTGGAGTCTTGACAAACATGTCATGGGATTCTCATTCACACTACAGCAAAGCTGGGCCTCTGCAGTCGCCTCTTCACTTCCATAAGGATTTATTTCTTGTATCTTTTGTAAAACACTTGATACAGTTTCAAGTTTCATTTAGCATATTTTTTTGTTTTAGGATTTTTGGTTTGTTTGGAGACTATGCTTTAGGAATTTATCACACAGATGGAAATATTCATATATTCTCACATTAAGCGCTTCTTCAGTCTAGTGCTAGTTTATTGTAATTTGTGAGGTACACTGTCCAATTTAAGCAGTGATTTCGGCCGTACTTGTAGATTTGGTCACTAATCTACTGTTCTTTCATTTCCTCACAGGTAACACAAGTAGCAAGACAGCCGGGACCCCCAACCCCTTCCCCTTACTCAGCACATGAAATAAACAAGGGGCACCCCAATCTTGCGGCCACGCCCCCGGGACATGCATCGTCCCCTGGACTCTCTCAAGTAAGAAATGCAGGTTTTCTTTTTAAAAAACATTTCCTTGCAATCCTTGTATTTCAGTTTCTCTAAATGAGACCCTGTTCACTGGTGGTTAGTGCAGAGCCCTTGAAGGCTTGGGTCCCTTGTTCTGTGTGTCTGCCAGAAGCTGCCACTTCTGCTTTTCATCTTGGAGTGATTAAAAAAGAAACCGAATTTATATTTAGTTTTTCCTATTTATTTGAGAAATTGGTCAGTGGTTCTAAAATTAATTAAGAGAAGAAACTTGGGTGTGCTGAACCTGCCTTTTAGTGTCCCCTGCATTTCCCTTTCCTTTTTGGTGGAGGGGACAGTGCCTTTCTGCTTTAGTGGAAGGCAGATGACCTTTACTATAGGGCAACTTGGGTGGGTGTTTTGTTCAGTTTGTTTTTTTGCTGGAGTTCTTTGGGGTTTGTTATGAATTGGGACTCTCAGCAGGTTTTACTTTATGGGCAGCACAGACCTTGATCTGGCTTTAGTGCATCCCAAGTCCTTCCCTAGATACTGTCCCGCTGGTGACTACCCCTGTCGCATGCTTAAGAGCTGTCTAGAATAGGAGTCCTTGGGAAAGGAACCTTGGATCTCTGGAAGAGCCATAAGTGCTTGTAACTGCTGAGCCATCTCTCCAGCCTACATTTAAAACTTTTGTTTCATATTTTAGGTTTTTAAAGAACTTGACCATTAGGAAACTTCTAAAATTAATAAAAAACAATTCTAAAACTGTTGATTATTATGTTTGGGGTTATTAATCATAGTTTAAACAACAGATAGTTCCCAACAGGAATTATAATTTGCTAGACCATAATCAGTCTGTTTCTCTGTTAAGGACTCTATAAATTAATTTGTCCTGGATCTGTGAAATGTTTGTTTGCATATAATAGAACTCTCATTTTTAAATATTTAAACTCTTACTTGTTTACTTAGCTCTTGGACAGAGCCGTCCAACCTGTAATTAAGATGTATTAATCTGAGTCTCATCAAGAGAAAAATGGGAGTGACTGGGGTAGGGAACATTGACTATAATGAATTAGGTATAACAGATTGTAGTAGAGACAGGCTGAATGAAAAGAAAGGACTCCAAGAGTGTAAGAGGGGCAGATGTGTGCAGAAGCCCCTTTCCTAGGACTGATGAAAAGAAAGGACTCCAAGAGTATAAGAGGGGCAGATGTGTGCAGAAGCCCCTTTCCTAGGACTGATGAAAAGAAAGGACTCCAAGAGTGTAAGAGGGGCAGATGTGTGCAGAAGCCCCTTTCCTAGGACTAATGAAAAGAAAGGACTCCAAGAGTATAAGAGGGGCAGATGTGTGCAGAAGCCCCTTTCCTAGGGCTGATGAAAAGAAAGGACTCCCAAGAGTGTAAGAGGGGCAGATGTGTGCAGAAGCCCCTTTCCTAGGACTGATGTCTCCTCATATTGGAGGGGCCTGGGGTGCTGCACAGTTGAGCTTTCTCAAAGTCCTTCTTCTGGAACTTGCTAGAAGCTTGTCCTGTAGAGTGTTGGGAAGCTCGTTTCTCTCACATTGATTTCTGACCAAGAGCTGCTGCAGTGCAAATGGTTCAGGCCTCACAGTGACATTGGGTGAGAGGGTTAGGAGTCGCTAGTGGTGGGGTTGTGCCACAAGCTGTGCTTGCTGCAGATTTCCTTTTGTCCTCTTCCTCACTGAAAATTTAAAACTTCCAAATGACTCTGTACGTAAGTCAGCCACACACTCAAACAGAGAAAATGCAAAAAGACCTAAACTCTGTGCCGTTTTTTTAGATGTTGTAGTATATTAGTTTGCTTTCAGTTGCTTTGGGAAAACACTGTCTTAGGGTTTCTATTGCTATGAAGAAACACCATGACCATGGCAACTCTTTTTTTAAAAAAATTTTAAAAAGATTTATTTATGTATACAGTGTTTTGCCTGCATGTGTGTCTGTATACTAGAAGAGGGCACTGGATCTCATTACAGATGGTTGTGAACCACCATGTGGTTGCTGGGAATTGAATTCAGGTCCTCTGGAAGAGCAGCTAGTGCTCTAACCTTTGAGCCATCTCTCCAGCCCCACGGCAACTCTTAAAGTGGAAAAAAATTTAACAGTGGTAGCTTGCTTATAGTTCAGAGGTTCAAGTCTATTATGGTGGAACATGGCGGTGTGTAGGCAGACACAGTGCAGAGGTAACTGCTACACGTTGATGTGCATGCCAAAGGAAGTAGATAGTCTCATTGGGCCTGGCTTGCATATATGAAACCTCAAAGCCTGCCTCCACACACTTCCTCTAGCAAGATCACACCTACTCCTAATAGTGCCACTCCCTTTGGGGGCCATTTTCTTTCAAACCATCACACTGACCAAAAGCAACTTGAGAGGAAAGGGTTAATTTCAGCTTACAGCCTGCAGTACATCACTGAAGGGAGGCAGGGCAAAGCTTAAGTACGAACCTGGAGGCAGGAATGACGAAGAGACCCTGGAGAAACGATACTTACTGACTTGCTGCCTGTGGCGTGTTCAGGTTTCTTGTTTATAGTACCCGGAATGGCACCACCCAGAGTGAGGTGGGTCCTCCCACATCAGCTGTCAATCAAAAAAATGCACCACAGGCTTGCCTACAAGCCAAATGGATGGAGGCTGTGGTTGTTTGAATAAGAATGGCCCTCGTAGGCTCATATAGGTTGTGACTTTGTTGGAGGAAGAATGACACTAATGGTGGATTTTGAGGTTGCAAAAAGCCCATGACAGGCCTTATCTGTATCCCTCTTCTTCCTTTCTTCCCTCCTTCCCTCTCATTTTCTCCTCGTCTCCCCAACTCCTACTCCCCCCCTCCTCCTTTGGATCAGGATGTAGCTCTTAGCTGTTCCTCCAGTTGCTATGTGTGCTGTCATGCTCCCGCCATGATGACCATGCATTTACCCTCTGAAAGTGTAACAAGCCCCAATTAAATGCTTTCTTTGTAAGAGTTGCCCTGGTCAATGGTGCTTCCACATCAATAGAACAATGGCTAAGACAGTTGGAATTCTCTATTTTGTGTCAAGTTGACAGAACCTTAAACTAGCACAGGTAGATAGTGTCCCCTTTCTGGTTCTGTGTAGGCTCTGAGCCTTGTGTAAAGGGAGTGGTGTGGCCTGCTGAGAGGGCCCTGGTAGCAGTCTACCCTTTGGAGCAGGTCCTCTCAAGCAGTTTTCAGGAAGGCTCTCTGCTACAAGTCTGCAAAGTAGGTGCTGGCTGCTGGGCACTGCCTGCCCACTGTACTGCACCGTGAATCTGGACAGAGCAAGCTGTGCCAAACCGGGAGCTGGTTAGCAGAGAAGCCAGAGTTTGAGGCAAAGTCTCCTGAAGGTTGTCTGTTTAGTGTCCTTGTTGACAACAGTGTCGGCTGAGACTTCAAAATATTTATAGAGCCAGATCCATTTTCCCATCATAGGCAAATTGGGCAGCTTTTGAGCTGAAAGTTGGTGAGTAAGGAGCGAGAGTCCTTCATAGCTGAGATTGTTACCGTTTCAGTGTATGATTTGACCGAAGCAGCTGGTCCAGAGTACTTTAATTTCCTGAGAGTCAGGGTTTGCTAGAATTGCATAGTTCGCATTTAAGAAAAGATGTCTTCTCAGTGGTGTCAGTTGTGAAGCCACAAGAGCCATGGGTTTTGCTATTTTCTGAGCTCTCCTTAGATACTAGAACACATGAATAGCTAGGAAGCTAGGAAAAGGCCACTAGCTATTATCTCGGGTTTCTTTGTTCTTTGTCTGCTGAGATCACACCTGATTGGATGAGTGGACCCAGTAAGTTGAGTGAGTGTGAGTGTGTGTGTGTGCACGCGAGCACACACACATAGGATCCATGAAGGTGTGTCCCCCCGAAGCTAAGTCCTTAGTCCTTTTTTACTTCATGTTTTTAGGCAGGGTCTCACTAAGTTGCTCAGGCAGGCCTGGTTTGTGGCAGTCCTGTTCCAGTCCCTCTCTAGCAGGAATTACAGGTTTTTGCCACTAGACCAAACTCTTTATTATTTTTTTATTATTAATATGACAAATCATTCTACTTATTGGTAACTTTTTTTTTTTTTTTTTTTGGTTTTCTGAGACAGGGTTTCTCTGTATTGTTTTGGAGGCTGTCCTAGAACTCACTCTGTAGACCAGGCTGGTCTCAAACTCACAGAGATCCACCTGCCTCTGCCTCCCGAGTGCTGGGACTAAAGGTGTGCACCACCACCACCCAGTGGTAACTTTTATATTTAAAATTTTCCAGTCCTATGAGGAAAACAATTACAGCTTCATGACTTTGACAAGGAGCCTTACTAAGTAGGGAAGTTCTAATTTTTCCTAATTATATCTTGTTGGTGATAGATGAGTGTTGAATTTCCTTAAACAGAAAAACAAAGTTAAAATTTACAGTTTTTCTTGTCTTTCCTTTTAAAGAACACTTTTAAGCACACCTTTAATCTCAGCATTTGGGAGGTGAAGGCAGGTAAATCGATGTGAGTTTGAGGCCAGTCCTGTCTATAAATCAAGATCTAGGACGGCCAGAGCTGTTATACAGAGAAATCCTGTTTTGAAAAAACCCAAAATGGGTGAGGGTTAAACTTATGTATACATATGTTTGCATGAACATATGTGATTTTTGTATATGTGTACCACATGCATGCTTGGTGTCCAGGAGGCCAGAAGAGGGTCTTGGATCCCCTGGAACTAGAGTTACTGATGATTGTGTGCCACCTGATGGGGTGCTGGGAACAGACTGTAGGTCTTTTTAAGAGCAACAAGTGCTCTTAATTGCTGACCCATCTCTCATGCCCTCTTTTCCTCTATCGTGACGTACATCCTGTCTGCAGTATCTTTGGAGGGAGTTGGGTGTGGAAGCCACCTGGGGGGCAGCAGAGGATTTCTTGCTATCTGTAGTACTAACAGCATGCATACCCTGTTGGTGCCAAATGCTGTTTGCTTGTTTTTGTTAATATATTCTCATATTTAAAAATAAATATTCTTATATTTCAAAATAAATTTCAAAATCTATTGTCTT